CTTCTCAGCAGTTGATAACGATCGAGAGGCATGTGCGATTGGTTTCTCTGAGCCATCGGGGTAGCGATGTGAAATAACACATCCGATTCCGTAGTCACTAGCATCGGCTGCAACAACAAGTTTCTGCCGTGGATCGTAGTGGGCCAGGTTCATGTCACTTGATAACACTTCCTTTAAGTTTTTGAACGCTTCTTGTTCTTCTGAAGACCATTTCCACACCGCATCCTTCTTCAACCGTGCGTCCAGATCCTTCATAGAGGGTACAAAAGCCGAGTAGTATGTCACCATGCCGAGGAACGCTCTTAGTTGGGCAATATTTTTCGGTTCGCTCATGTTCTTTATTGCTTCGATCTTTTCCGGATTGGGTCTTCTTCCATTTTTGTCCACGATAAAACCAAGGTAACGGATTTCCGGCTTGGAAAACGCACATTTTTCCAGACGAACTTTGAATCCATAGTCTGCTATTCTTTCGAATAGGGCGAACAAGTTTTCTTTGTGCTCTTCTGCTGTTTTGCCGCTCACGAGGATGTCGTCCAAGTACGTAGTCACTCCTCTGAGTCCAGACACCATTTTGTTCATTACTTGCTGGAAAATCGCTGGTGCGGTCTTAATTCCGAAGGGCAGTCGATTGTATTGAAATAGTCCTCTGTGTGTGTTTATCACAACTTTTCTTTTTGAGTCCTCGGATAGTTCCAATTGCAAGTAAGCGTCCGATAAGTCGATTTGTGAGAATACCGTTCCTCCATTTAAGGACGCAAAGATATCTTCTGGCATGGGTAAGCGGGTAGCTGAAGGATTGCAGAGCTTTGTTCAGACCCATTGAGAAATCAGCGCATACTCTGAGCTTTCCATTTTGCTTCTTCACGCAAACGATGGGTGCAGCCCATTCACTGTGGTTCACGGGTGTGATGACACCTAATTTTTCGAGCCTGTTCAGTTCTGCGGTCACTGCTTCCAAAGCTGCATGGGGGACTGGACGGCTGCTACAGAACACTGGATGCGTATTTGGTGTTAGCTGCAACTCGACTTTTTCCTTGGTACAGCGTCCTAGACCTTCTTCGAAAACCTCTGGAAATGTTTTCTTCAACTCTTCTTCAAGTCTGCTGTTGCAGTTGGCCTTCACTTCAGCAGCTATCATTTCTATGTGATACATCAATTTCTCGTTCGCTCGAATCCATTCGAGACCCAAGAAGTGAGCTGTGCGGCGTCACATAGGCGTCTCCTTCAGTAGTGACACCTTTCATGGTAATCTTGCATTTAAGCTTTCCATATATCTTCATGGAATCTCCACTTGCGTTTTTCACGACTATATTGGTCTTTTCCAATGCTGGGGAGCCCATCTTCTTCCAAATCTTCTCGTTCAGTAACGTGATGTCTGATCCAGTATCGAGAAGAAATTTGACAGAGTAGTTGTTCACTACAGCGTCGATGTACACACGGGAAGAGTTTGCTTGAACTGCTGCATTTGCAATCTTGACGATTCGTACTTGTTTTCTCGGACCTCTGTTGTTTCTGTTCCTCGAGAACTTCTCTTTAGTATGCTGAGTTTTCTGTGTCGCCTCTGTGCGACCTGCAGTCTTCTTTTGTCGTAAATTGTCACAAAACTTCTCCTTTG